TTTGTGATATCACAAATCCTGGAAAATATGCGTTGTAGTCCAAACGAGTCGTTCGTTGTAGTTTTTGAAAAGTGATTTCTGTTAAATAAAATATCTCCTTTTGAAGTGGACTTTGAGCTTTATAACTTTGCTGATCTTTTTTATGCTCAAACAGCAACATTACAGACTAACTAAAGTTGAAAAATTGAAAAAGCATAATAGGACCCCTTTAAAACAGTTTTTGTGTTCAGGATTTTTTGAGCGGGCCTGAAATCATGTCTCGATGATGCACTGGAGCCACATTTAATACTGCTTTACATGGACTTTAAGGATCAACTCTCGAATAGCATGAGATTGTGCAAGAACAGAATTACAGAAGGATGATCTCGACACTGACGCACCTACTCTACGATTAGCTGTGCAAACTGTGCAACTTTAAATCGACAACATTGCAAACACAAAACTGTGACTCTTTAAATGTGCAAAGAGCCACAAGCTTCTGTATTAAGCAACGGATGTGTTCACATCTATATGCATTCAAGTATAATCAGGAAAATGGTTTGCTTGCAGGGTGTAACCGCACCAATTGTCGGCCATTCCTGAGAAACAACTCATCCTACATAACAGATGTCACACAGGAGAGAGAGAGAATGGAGGCCCTTTGAAAAAGTTAAAAGTCTAGCGGATGAAAATAAAACCGGAAAAAGCTGGATATTAATAATGTATAACTGCCAACTGAAAGTGTTCACATGCCATCCAAAGAAAAAACACATACCACTGAAAGCTAGTTTCCGTTGCGGAGTTTTACCGAAGGTGATACAATTTTTAAACTAAAGAAACTTGCTTTTCTTGCTCTGGATCAGATTTGGTCACGACTACTGAACTTCAGCGCTGTGACATTCTTGATTTAAAGCACTTTAAAAAGTACCGCAAATGCACTTCAAAGGAAAGGCCACATATCAACAGAATCCAAAAGGTATGAGTAATTTACAAAAACAGACCGAATGCTAAACTCCAAAGGTCAAAATGAATGTTTGTTATGACTGCTGTCTTACTGGGAGTCTTGACTGACGTTTGTGGAGCATTTGTCTGCATTCTGAAGCATGATATCAGTCTCCAGTATGGTGTGTTGACTAGTGATCGACCAATATGGGTTGATAAATAGAGAATGAGGTGGCCAATGTCAAATTAAAAGGCAATATATATGTGATGTAAGGTACAAATACAAATTATTGCAATTGGATAAACATGCATGCAGAAATTCACTAAAATATCTGAAAACCAAATTGGACATTATCCATTAACAAGTCTAGTGGGTAAAGCCAAGTGGGTAAAGTTATCAGCCAATGTTGATGGTCTTGAAATGGGCAAATATCATCCAATTCATCAGTATATCACTAGTATGGACACAAGTGAATTTGTCATTTCATGGCAGGTCAAACTGTGCTCTGAAGTTTGGACAGAGTTAGCAGTGTCTGTGTGTTAAGACGACCTCTCGCTGTTTGCTCTTTAACAAACAGAGTAACAGCCAGGCCTTTTAAATGCTTTTTAATATCACCACTGGCCTTAGGATAAGTAGAAAAATGAGAGAGAGCGAGAGAGAGAGAGAATGGGATATGAATGAGGAAAAAGGAAAAACAGGCCACCTTACATACATAAGTCGTCCTGCTTTTCTAATTTTCTGAGTTGGTTTTACCAGGTTAACAGCTAAATCACAACATGCTAATTATATAAATGCAGCTAGTAAAACATCAACATTAAAAAATTTTTTTTTTTTAAATACGTAAACTGTCTCCTTCACAAACTGGTTGTTAATCTGTTTGTTGCTGTGCAGAGCTCATAATGGTGTCCATGGCCTGTAATTTAACGGCTATAGTTCACTTTGCTTGAGAGCAGTGATTAGTCTCTGGAGTCACATCTTGACAATATTTTCATAACTCACTAATACAACTTATAATAGAGCATATAAGAGACCAATAGATCATAAGGAGCCCTAGAGACTTCTTTCAGTCGGGTTATGGGGCTTGAAACCCTTGCGTTATGGATTGGCAAGGCGACACACAAGCGTTTACCCAGAACAGAGTGAGGGACAGAGAGAGAGAATGGCAGAGGAGGCAGAGAGAGAGATTATAAATAGAAGTCAAACACAGGGTGAGCTATGGGCCACAATTATGAGCTCTCATGCTGCAGCCTGGGATGTTGACGACACAAGAAGAGCACAAAATATACAAAGAGGACACTCTCGTAGTTGCACACCAGCCACTAACAAACAAGTAGCAAAAATACCATGGTACAGCCATGAGTCTTTGGACAAGTAGCTCTGTATTATCCATGTACATACCATGGATAATTGTTCAGTACCATGGTATGTCAAATCTATAACCATATGTACCACCATAGTACAGCAAACTGTAATATATAATAGCAGCAATTTTGCCAAGATTTTATCTCTCTTCCCTACACGATTATTAATCTTTAATTTGTCCAAATTCACTTACATCTCCACTCATAATAATCTATAACAAAAACAATAGCCTAATTCTCTCCCTTTGTGCCCAATTTACTGCAGCGCTTGTATCTTTCGCTCCGTAATTATTTCCCCCGCTCATTTTTGTCTTGCCGAGATAAATTATTTAGGTAAAGGAGCTAATCTTGGTCATTAGTTTTGCTGTGGGTCAGAGAAAAACCAGTCGCGCCAGTGAGGAGGGGGAAGACTTCGCGCATGCGCACATCCGCCGCTCTACAGCAGCGCATGGGCCAGTTCGCATTCCAAACTCCACACATCACAAACGCTCCCGGCGCGAATCTCGATAACGGATTTTTCACGGTAAAAACACACTCCGTAGGGTCACAGATCTTAATTCTGAGGTAAAGTTTGCTCGACACTACATCAGGTTCGTATTCTAGACTGTGTAGGGTCTAAGAGACCTCAAACTCTAGCTAATTTTATTAGAAATGCTTACAAATAGGGTTTCAACGTGATAGTACGTTTAAAAAGTCCTTATTAAACATTTAACTAATCGAAATTATAGCAAGCTTAAAAGTCCTTATTAAACATTTGACAAATCGAAATTATTTGTCGCACATACAAGGATCCAGGACTCTAATAGTGAGGCAATAAAGTCAACTTAACCGTTCGGTGGTTTGGTTAGCGTTACACAGATGTGAATTATATTCATAATACACGTCCAAAAGAGGGAGATGGCTTTAACTCGCTGACCCACAAGGCCTGAAGTTGTTTTTTATTGGCAAACCGTGAGATTATCCCCGTTAGGGTTGTGTTGGGAGTCTAAACAAACGATTCCCTCACGCCTGAGGAAACACATTACAAATTTCCATCTGAATGTCCGTCAAGCTCCTAACCGTCACGTCGTGATAACAATGGAAGACAGGGACCATGAATAGTCGTCTGAGATGTCGAGACCAATCGTTTTACTAGGGTCTCTTTCTTAAACCCTGAAGAACCATCAGTAACCAAAACCCACCAGTCCACGATCATTAAAAAGCCTGCGCGAGCTCAATGGTCATGTAGGGGCAGATCACGTCTGTCAACTTCTAGCAAATGGTTTATATAGTTTTCATGCTCCGCACAGGATCACATACATGCAGATCCATTGAAGACCAAGAAAATGAATAGTAGCCTATGTAGGCGCTTATACACTCCACACCCACGGACAGGCAGAACCTTCAGATGCATCGCTTCCATAACCAGTTCTGCTGTTAACGCCCTTTTAACACTACACACCGTGACTAATCAGTTATAAATCAATTAGAGCCTATCGATTTTTACCAAAAGCAACATGTGGTCCTCTCAGATGAGGGTGCCTTTTAGAGAGCTGGATGGAGAAACAGGATGGGTAACGTTAGTTTAAAAATAGCCCCTTAAATAACACATGGTTCCGAGAGAATATTCAAATCGGAGTGTTCATGCACAACATTCCTGAAACGTCCAGGTCTCTATTTACGTGCGAATTGCTCAAAACGCCAATGGAATGTCAGTTTCTTATCGTTCTCAGTAACTTTGACCTAACCCTACCAGAACAATCCCTCACCATGCCGCTTGCTGTTGTTCTTCTCTGGAATCGAAATGCTTTGACAACGCAGTCAACCACGACCCGAGTTTGTTTAGCTCTACAATGTGTTTGGAAAGAATACAAACCGGATCAAGTAAACCAAACCGATATGTTTTAACGCTGCCATTCAGCCGAGCGCTCGAGGAAATGTAATCTGTAATAAACCGATTCCCAGCCTTTCATTACAGGTTACGCTCTTGTAAAAGGACTGTGTGAAAACACATTTCCAACTAATTTACCAGGTTCCAGCAAGCCAGAGATCTAAGTGTTTACAAAGTATCTAAATGTGATCAATGCTCAAAATCCGAACGCCGGGTTCTTAAAGTTTCGTACGGAATAATCCGTGGTACTCGGGTAGTGTAAGAGCCAAATGCTGGTTTCCACACTTGAACACCACAGCAGTGCTTAAATTACACACTACACGAGTCTCGTCTCAACGCAGCGCTGGGCTACCAAATCCTGCTTTACAAAACTACTCCCATGAAGATTTCTACTCACATTTCTAACCATTTAACGTAGACAGTTCAGGTAATTCGTTTATGGCACTTACACGTTCGAGTGATCCTTGGATGGCATGTCCTAGTCATAGTTAAATTCCCAAACTCGCCGAAATATCCCGTTCCGTAGCGCGAGTGGAATGCGTGTCGGCGTTCAGAACGCGAGCAACCTCGGTTTGAGCAGCGCGAGGACTGGCTGAGCTGGAAACGATCAATCATGCGCGAGGTGCGCGGCCGGACGCTGCTCTAGAGCGCCACCTCGCGGCGTGTAAAGCCACGACACTGTAAACCTTCTTGTGAAGCTGAAGTTTATTGGCCAAATCAGTTTGCACTTTGGAGGAGGAAATTGTTGTAGAGAATTGATCCCGACATTAAACACAACACAATGTAGTAAAACATAAAAATGCACAATAAACAAACAAACACAATATATTACAATTACTATAAGTTACATTTCTCAAAAATTCAGAACCTTAGCATTTTTTGTTTTCATTTAAAGATTTTACACAAATCATTACAGAGCAGCAATCAAACTGATCCCTTTGTATTATCAGTGGCATAAAACCACAGGAAACTCTCTTGTGCTGAAAGCATTAACATAAAACATCTCTGAAATGATCCCTAATAATAGCAATAATGTGATGGAGTTAAGTACAGACTGGTGTGTTTGTGTGAGCATGTGATTACTTGAATACAGAACAAAAGCTCTCTCAGGCCACAGAGTCGATTGATCCGCTGGTGGCGACATCACTCTCACGCACACACGCACGCCAACTTCACAGACTCAAACATTGTGTGAATGCAAGCAAACATGTAAATATAAGTATTTATCAATATAAATAATTCACACAAAACATTATACTACAAAAGGCTAGAGCTGCAACAAAGCCAGATATTGATAGATACTCTGATATTGCATTTCAAACGATTAATGTCTTCCTTTCATGTCTTTTTCAAAAAAACAAAAAAAAACTTGCCAAATCACATCAAAGTGTTTGTACTGGCCAGGAAAAGGAAAGCACTTGATGACATGTCTTAGTATACAGGACAGATCTGGACAGCATCTGGCTCTCAGTTAATTGTGCTCATATTGGATGATCACTTAATAAAATAACATTAATATACTGCATGAATTTATTTATTCAGGTCACTTGACAACAAGTGCAACATAACCGCACCAAGAAGTTATTTTGTACTATAATTTACCTCAGCACATGCTCACTGACTGGTCATCATCACCCAATAAAGTGTTGACCCTCTGTTCTTCTAAATCCTGTTAGAGGCACAGCCACATGGCAAGGATTGGCAACCCTGCTGGGATGAGATTAGACAAGCTATTAAAACACACACACACCAGACCATGTTAGTACAACCATCCACCACATTCCACTACTTAAAGAGTGCAGCCATAAGAAGATTAACAACTCTGTTTTCTGCACAGGTGTCATCCTGACATCCGCACACCACCAGAGGCACAAGCGTCGTTTAGTAGCAATGGCTGATTTTGTCCCCACCACACTATGAAACAGCTCAAGGCAGGGATAAATCTAATACAGAGGAAGCATCTTCAGTTCTTCTAGTGTTTGTTACAGTGAGTGGTCATCCAGCACTGGAATTAATGTTTTGCTGAGTGGTCGTTGCAGACAGCAATAGCAGTGTTTTTTCTCACACAGCGCTCAGATTCATGCTACAATATAGGCCTGTATTGCTTTATATATATATATCCGTTCTATCTGTTCACAAAACAAAATGCAAATTCCATATATATATATATATATATATATATATATACACTCACATACAAAACAATGTGGGTTTATTAAAATAAAAAAGTTATAATAGCCTGGAATGCAACCCGAAACCCATCATATTCAAAGCAACAAAAACATTCCCACTCGACCAACCAGTCACACTGGACCTTTTACTGCTGATCCATGAATTTATCTACTGATTTACACTCTTAAAAATAAATATTCTTTATTGGCATCTATGGTTCCATGAAGAACCTTTAGAGCTATTGAAGAACATGAAAAGTTCTTTGGGAAACCATAAATAGTTCCTCTGCAAAACCCCCCTTTTGGAACCTTCCTAGGAGACTGACAAATGTTGGAAAGAAGTTATCAAGTTAAATGAGACACTTTGTTTACTATTTGAAGTAGTTGACAAGAATGATTGTTCCCCTAAAATTGCTGTTTAAATTATTTTTGGATATTTCTAAACCAAATCTTATTAATATTTCAGCTTGCAAATGACTAATCTATACTGAACTGATCTGTTTTTATTGAAACAGTACAAGTATATGAAATTATTTGTGCAAAACCTAATTAAAATGTACTAAATCATGCTATTTTGACTGTGCACCAGACTTTCTCCACCAGTTTTTTTAAACAAATTGATGCTCTTTTCACCTGTTTTCCACACACCTGTTTCTTGTGATTTCACCTGTTAAATACTTTGCATCTGTCTCTTATGCACCGTGAAGTCATGGAAGCACTGCTAAATGAAGCCTTCTTTTCTGGTTTGAGGGTACTTGTGCTTGCGTTCTTGGTTTCAGATTACATTTGGCCTCTTGTCTCACTGGAATTTGAATGGACTATTTTGGCTTTGACCTTGGACAATTTAATGTTTACGGTCTTTGCATTATGGCTGGAGCTGAGCTTGTTAAAGAGTCCAAGGCACTTGTTTAACCGTATAATTGTCTTATACCTTATAAAAGACCTTATAAAGTTTGCCACATCCATACATACGCAGTTCTTGCTGAATCGCTGTTATGTTGGCTGAGACAAAACCTCAGTCGCTGAATGTAAATCTATGATGGCTTCCTTTGAGACTCTATAATCACATCTAATTCCATCCATGGAGGAGACAACATCCTCCACTCGAGTTACAGGGCTTCGGATCACAGCTACAGCTGCCCATATTAAGTTCATCATGAGTCTATTTTTGGAGTCATAGTGTGAGGTTTTGTTTTGAACTCTTGTATTCTTGAGTAACATATCTAAATTGTATTGTTTAGGGTTAGTATTTTGATGGTGGAGTCTTATATATTTTTTGTAACTACTGTACATCTGGAATGAGAATGATTTTTGCTTTTCCTTTAAACAGCTGCTTTTCTCAGAATGACTGCTGTTGTGTCCCATGCCATGCCACAGTGTTTTCAAGCAGAAGACGGGTTTTCCCATTGAGCTTCGGTTTTTCCTGACCACTGTATCGCTGTGTAAGGCCACAGTTCTTGTTCACGGGATGTCTTTACTTCCATAAACCCACAGTGAAATAATTACTAGCATTTGAGAAACATTATGAATTCATCCTTTGGATGACTCAGTCCTCATTATTGAATATGACTCCATTTGATCTCAATTTAATCCCTCTTTTAGTACGCCACACCATGACAGCAGAACAGAAGACAGCCGACGCGTTGAAACAAATGAACATTTCTGAGATTTTCTCCTCAGATGCCGTCTCATTTTTACTGATTAAAAGATCTTTCTCAGATTTCAAGGCCAATTAAAACCAGCTAAAGTCATGCAAAAGGAGAAGACATCTTCAGTGCTATTCAAGCCACAGCTGATGATTCACTTAGATATTTTTCTGTACTCTGGTGCTTATAGTTTTATGTGCAATCAAGTCCTGTTCAGACTAGTCCATTGACAATTGATGGCAGTGAAAAGCTCATATAGAAAGCTGAAAGAAAAATGTACATGTTGTTAAAGCAGATATGAAAGCAGGAACAGCTGATCACAGCAATGACAATCACAATTCCTTAACCTCTCATAAGTCTCATAAAATGCCTACTTGCATAATTGGATACTGAAACTGCGCCAAGCAAAGCGGAATTTTGTGGTTTAAATAACGGCTGCACATGTTTAATGCTCTGTGAATTACACAATGTGGAAATGCACACGCTCCAGTCAAATCCTGTCCATATACAGAAATTAATTCAGAAATCAAATCAAGAGGTCAGATGAACATTTAAAAAGAAGAAAAATGAGTTGGAAAGCAACGTTTTAAAAAAGCTAAGATGACCTCTCTCTTCTATTAAGATGGTTTTCAATATAACATGACCCTGATTTCAACTTATCTTGTGAACTTGTGAAATATAACCTTTTACCTCTAATAACAGCAGTTTTTGGTAAAAACCACAAAGCCAGAAGAGTGTTTCATTTAGGATATGATCTGATGGTTGATTCTCTGAACATATTTGAACTTGAGGGTCAGACTCTGACGGATGTGTTTTTAGGATCAGATCTCAGAGGAGCTTCACTCGGTCAAAGTGAATGCTAAACAGAAAACAAAGATATGTTGATGTTTGCAGTTGCTCTGGGATCAGTTAGACATGCTGAATATTGCTTAGCATCTTCAGCTCACGTTGATAAGTGTGCAAAGTGTTTATGTGTGTTTCTTTGTGACCCTGGACATCATTTTGTGGCTTCGCAAGAACACAAATAAAGGGTCCAAAGTAGCAGTCAAATGTTTTTTATGACTATTTTTCCTATTTTAGAATAACACTATAATATCATTAAACCTATGAAATACCACAAACTGATGTAAACTATGCACAAAATGTTTTTGCCACCCTTTTTCTGCAGCTCTGTAGAATCTTGTTTGTTTGTGTCACTTCAGCACACAAATCCACAGATGTTTAACACCACGAGAACGAGCACACAGCTGAGACTTAAAACCAGCGGAGGGAACATCATGGAGCTCATCCGTCTGAGGACATTATTTGGCTTCCAATCACTGGATTGGACAAAGTTTGTGACATGTTTCTATACATCCTGGACTGTTGTGATATTGAGTGTTTTTCACTTCCATCTGTTATTGTACTGTCATCTTTTTCAGATTTACTGAGCCCTAAATGACACATAAAACAATGTCGTTGCTTTATATGTTGGTCAGATGGTCTCTTCTTGTCTAAGTGGGCATTCAAGCATTTTTGAATGACTAGGTTGAGTGAGAGATTCAATGACTCACTCACTGATTCTTTCCTGAATGAATGAGTGTTTTGAATGAATCGGTTGAATGAGTGATTCAATTGACTCACTCATCAAGTCGCCACCTACTGGTGTAACTATGTAACCTGTAGGAGGAGTCAGTATAAACTCTGACAGTCAGTCTGGAACAAAGACAGACAAGCGGAGTGATAAAAAGAGTATCCCAGTGTTGAATAACCAGTGTATAAACAGACTTATCAACTTAGAAATAGGAGGAACACTTCCCCAGCTCCTATTTAATATGCTGCTGATGTCAAAGATTGTATGTCCAATCAAACCC